GACTGTACTTGGAAGTGGATCTCTAACTCTCTGTGTTAGGTCTTTACATTTCCACTCAGCTAACTCGGTTCTCTTTCCCCATGAAAGTTGCTGACCCCACACCCTTCCATACTCAAGCAGAGGTGACAATGAAAACCAACTTCTTTGGTACCCAAGATGTCTGCAAGGAACTACTCCCTCTGATAAAACCCCAAGGTGAGTCTGCCTGAGATCCAGACCCAGCTCCTCCCCCTCCCTGCACCTGCCTCTCTGCCACTTGGAGGTGTGGCTCTGCTCTTTGAGCTCAATTCTTTTGTGGCCATTGACTGGCTCTTTGCATGTCCCACTCTTCCTCAACCTTCAAATATGATTCCAGGATCCATTTCTTCCACATCCTCACTCAATGCGGATTTTAGGATTCCAATAATTTCTATACATTTTTCACACATACTGACATCCCACTGGTCACAATATTCTGTCCCCACAAGTCCTCAGATTATACCCAAGAACCTCCCTCAGCTCAGCTCCACAGCAGGTCTCAGCTGTCAAGATGCACTGCTGCAAACCCTCTGAGGAGGCCTCCTTTCTGGAGCAGGCTCCTTTCCTGAACTTCTTCACATCTGTACAAACACCTCTCCTCCAAAAATCCTCCAGGAAGGAGATCAGGCCTTTAGAATTGCTCACAGGACTCTACGATCTGACCCTTGCATCCTCCAGGCTCATGCTAGCTCCCCATCAACATGCTTCACGTTTCTTAAAAAAACAAAACAAAAAAAAAAAAAAAAACCTATCCAATTACATTTGTCATGAACTGCTCTAATACCCCGAGACTTTTGGATAGCATGTGAACCACGGGTCATTAAATACAACCAGTGATGACAAGTGAGCTCCTTTGGAATTATGAGTCTCAGGTATAGAGTTGACTAAGTATAGCTGTCTCAGAACTCCTGTCCTCTCTCCTGTCTGGCCCTCTGGACCACACCTCATGGTCATCTGGCTTCTCTACTAACCAAACCTCAAAGGCAAGAAATCAGATTCTATGCTACTTGAGTCCTGTTCTGCATCCCTGACTCAAATGAAATCATTCTGATCTAATGTCTCACCAAATGCAAAGCTCTTGTGTATGCTTCTCTACATGGTGATGTGTTTTCAGGCAGAGTGGTGAATGTGTCCAGCATGCTGAGTCTCAGGGCCCTGAAAAACTGCAGCCCAGAGCTGCAGCAGAAGTTTCGAAGTGAGACCATCACTGAGGAGGAGCTGGTGGGGCTCATGAAGAAGTTTGTGGAGGACACAAAGAAAGGAGTACATGCGAAAGAAGGTTGGCCTAATAGTGCATATGGAGTCACCAAGATTGGGGTGACAGTCCTGTCCAGAATCCATGCCAGGAAACTCAATGAGGAGAGGAAAGAGGACAAGATCCTCCTGAATGCTTGCTGCCCTGGATGGGTCAGAACCGACATGGCAGGACCAAAAGCCACTAAAAGCCCCGAAGAAGGAGCAGAGACCCCCGTGTACTTGGCTCTTTTGCCTCCAGATGCAGAGGGGCCTCATGGGCAGTTTGTTCAAGATAAGAAAGTTGAACAATGGTGAACCCAACTCTCACCTCTTAACCCATTGTATTCTGCCTTGGTGAAGGGCAAGGACATTTATAATACAGTAACACTCCTGAAAAATAAACGTAACTAATTTCTCACACACATAGACTGTTGCAAATGTTTTTCAGTTGCTTTTTATTTTGTGCATATGAATGTCTTGAATATGTGTCTGGAAGGGTGCTACATCCACAGAGTGCTCTTGGGTGCCAGAAGAGAGAGAGGATGCCAGGAACTGGAGATAAAGATGGCTGTAAGCCTGCTCATGTGTTCTGGAAATGGAAGCCTTGCCTTTACAAGAGCAGCACGTGTTCTTCCCTGCTGAGCCATGTCTTCAGTCCTCATTTACACAGAGGCCTTTCAGGCAAAACTGGCTTCATCAAGGGGTTTAATTAAATGGAAACTCAGGCCAAGGGAAGGCACAGTATGACTCCAGTCAGTGAACATCTAAGACCTAAGTCAGATGGCAGCTGCTTGAGGACACTGCAGAGTGTGCCAACAGGTCAGGGGTGTCCTTTATACACACTGTGTGTGTGGAAAGCCTGGACCATGACAATACAGACACAAAACACAGCTCTCAAAAGTATAAGAGACCATTTATCCTGGGGGCATTTTGAGTGACAACAGCATGGGAACAAAGACTTAGGTTACCCATTTCCATGTTCCTTCTCAGAAGCACTCTCTTGAGGGTTTTATAGTTTTACAGAACTAAGAAAGTTATCAATCAAGGCAACTTTGAAATCCATTGATGAGCACTGCAGAGAGGCAGGTACAATGAGAAGGGGCTCTTCTGTAGGCCCAAGATGCCACCTGAGGACATTCTTAGCTCCTGGGTTGGTGGAGCTAGTTGTCTGCTGAGTTAGTTGTTTCTAAGAGGTTCTTATTCATTATCAAGAGGTGTTAGTTCAGAGTTGGGCAAGCAAATGCTGTTCCAGAAGCTAAGCCTAGTCTAATAGAAAGTCATTGACCTCTGACCCTACAGAAATCCAGTCTCTCCACAGCAACCTGTGCTTCAGTCTCTGCAGGCACAGAAACTCCTTCCAGGAGTCTGGGTCACAGACAGACACAGATTCTTTTCAAGAATTTTTGTAGACAGCAAATAGCCAAGCAAGGATTGAAATGTAAGTGGGTACATACAGGAAGCAAACACATAGTGTGTGGGAGTTTCTTGTTTTATGTGATGTGTACTATCATATACAGATGTGTGGATTTTGATGTATGTATACATGATGTGTATGTGTGTTTTCATGCATACATATATGATCTGTGTGTGATTTCATGTGCACATACATGATATGTACATGTGCTCTCATATACACATACATGATAGTCTCAGTGGTAATCCCCAGGTGCTGGACCCTGCTCTGATCAATTTTGGCTTTTCATTTTGTTTCAAAGATCAGTTACTTGCTAGACTAGCTGGCCAACCAGTTCCAGGGATCTGCTGTTTCTGCCTCCCCGGTGTGGGGGTTAAAGCCTATGCCATGGGTCCTGGGCTCTGACTCAAGCTTGTAAGGCAAGCACTTCACTGACTGACATAACTCACTCCTCAGCCTGGATGATGCCCTCAAGACTGTTTTCACACTTTCCCTTTAAAGCTACTGAAATTGTTCCAACCATGGGACAGGCTAGGAGACAGCTACTAATTTTATGTTTACCCTTTATCTGTTGAAAGATTTCCAACCATGGGAAAAGGCTAGGAGCCTGCTCAGCAACAGTGTGTATGCCAGCATGCATGAGGTCCTGGGTTTGAGTCCCTAGAACAAAGAGGATCAGGAAGAAATCCTTGGCTTTACCTACTTAATGCATGAGCTGAAACAGGATGACTAAGTGTGCCTCTATCACATTGACTGTCAAGTCAGCGTGATAACAACAGGATACATGTCCTCATTTAGATGTGAAAACCTCAACAGCTGTGTGGACATGCATAGTATATGCTGTCATCCCACACTACCCTTAGGGATGACACAATCCTCAAACATGAAGAAAAGCACATGATCACTTTCTATCACAAGGGAGCTTGCAAAATCTGGAACTGCCCATGACCCTGCCTCTGTCAGGGACCCTGCATATTGCTCAAGGACTCTGACATAATCTCATTGTGGACCAGTGACTTCCAGGCCGGCAGAGGAATAATCACCGCTGGATAGAAAGCAAGGCCTTTTATGAGGTTCACTGCACATGGCTCCTCTTCGAACAGGGTGTTCATTTCCTCTGAGTTATTTTGTAGTTTTGTAAGCAGACACCAGAACATCAAGATCAAATATCACAGCCCTAGAGTTCCAAGTGATAATCTGAAATGTGTACTCCAATCCAGAGATATTTTTCCTTAATACCTTAATAACAGCTAGCATTGCAAAGGTGTTAAAGAATGCACTCCACAAGGAAATCCTTGATTAGCCATGGCATCTGGGAGTATAATTATTCAATTCTCCTAAAGGTCTGTTTCTTAGGCCGAATGATAAAGTACACAATGCTAAAATGAGAATTTTAGACAAGGGAAAATTATGTCTCATGGATGCAATTAAGTTTCTATTAAACACATGTATGATCATTTGTATGATAAAAAGGATTCAGACAGATGTGGAAGTGGGTCCAAAGATAAAGATTAAAGGTTCACGTTTACATGGAATAAAGGCATGCTGAGTTAAAGGATGAACAGGGACAAAAACCAGTGTGTCCATGGCATAGAGTAACTCGCTTCAGTCCCTAGGAATTAGGACAGCATTTACACTTCTGTCAGGCCTTACAATCCACAAGCACTTGTAAGCACTGTGCACATGGCCCACATCTGGAAACCAGAGATCAACTTGCAAGAGCTGGTTTTCTCCTTTCACCATGTGGGTTCCAGGAATCAAACTCAGCTCTTCAGCCTTGGTAGCAAGCACTTCTACCTGTTGAGTGAACATCACTCAACCACAGCCCTTCATGTAAACGGCTTCTGCTCATCCATGAAGGGGTGCAGAATGAATGATAGGTTAGAAAAACAAACAAACAAAAGCCACAAAGCTTAACTATGCATTGACTCCAAAAAGCACACATCACTGGTAAAGACACAACCCAAGAGTCGAGGGATGGGGCACAGACCACCAGTAACTGGAGACTAAGAACAGGACAGCACAGCTGTCTTTTCATCTAATAAACTAGGCTTCAAACAAAGTAGTCAGAGGAGATAAACACCATGACATATCAACCACGGAAGCTCTTCACTAAGATAATATAATGATTACAAGCATGTGCATAAAGTGTTGGGTCTCTAAATTTAATGAAACAAAACTAGTGGACATACAGGGACAGACAGGTCCTGATCTCATCACAGGAGATAGAGTAAAGTCCATGCTCATTTCTATATAGGACATCTAATCTAAAAATCAACCAAAAGACCTCAGACTTAAAATATAGGAGAGATCAAATGGACTTAACAGATATGTAAGAATATGCCATGCAGACACTGAAAGCCTACCCCTAACCAAGGAGCTGCTGACAGGTCATAGCTGCTCAGGGAGGGGAGTCAGGGTTCTTTAGGGGTGTGTGGATCCTGATAGATAGATCGTGCTCCAGTATAGTGCACCATATTCCTGTGCATATGGGCAGCACTGACTCATTGTTCAAAAGAGGACGGAAGGAAGAGGACAAGGAGGAGAACAAGGAAGAGGAAATATAGGACTAAGAGAAGGAGGAGGAGAGGAGGAAGAGGAGGAGGAGAGGAGGAGGAGAGAAGGAGCAGGAGAAAGAGGAAGGAGAAGGAGGAGGAAGAGGATTAAGAAGAGGAGGAGGAGGAGGAGGAGAGGAGGATGAGAGAAGGAGCAGGAGAAAGAGGAAGGAGAAGGAGGAGGAAGAGGATTAAGAAGAGGAGGAGGAGGAGGAGGAGGAGGAGGAGAAGAAGAAGAAGAAGAAGAAGAAGAAGAAGAAGAAGAAGAAGAAGACTAAAAAGACCTTCAGAATAGGAGTGAGATAGAGTGATGAAAATTGGGATGAGTTGGAGAGATGCATGGGGGGAATGAGTATAAAATTCTCAAAGGAAAAAAGCTGTAAAATATTTTTAAAAATTAATATGCCAACCAAGGGAAGTAAACTTACCTCAGCATCCGTGGAAATTCTCAAAACCCAAGCACTAGGATGGGAGAGACAACTCAGGAGTTAAGAGCATTGGCTGCTTTTGCATAAGAATCAGGTCAGTTCCTTTAGACACAGGAGATGACTCCTTCTTCTGGCCTCCATTGGTACCAGGCATGGTCATTGTGCACAGATATTCTATACAGGAAAAACACTCATACACATTGAACAAACAAACAAACACGCAAAACCAGACTACACACAAAGCCAAAAAGAAACTCCTAACAAATAAAAACTAATCTAAAAACTATCCTGTGTCCAATAGGTCATAGTTTAGTCTCAGAAACATGAGAATTGTCAGCTCTTGCAGAGGATCCAGGTTCAGTTCCCAGCACCCACATGGTGCCTCACAACTAAAGTAACTCTATAGTTTTTGACAGAGAGGAGAGAGCTAGAAATGGAGATAAGGTTAGGGGTGCAGAGGAAGGAAGATACACATCAAGGTACAAGAGAGGAAAGACAGAGGGAGAGAAACGACAGGAAGGCTGTGATATAAATCCTTTCTTGACTTACTTTTGAGAAGCAGTCTCTTTTAGCCCTGGCTATCCTGGAACTCTGTGAAGAGCCTCAAACCCTCAGAGAGATGCTTGCCTCTGCCTACTGAGTGCTGGCATTAAAAGGGTGTGCCACCACTTCCTCCCGGCCACCAACTCTAACACTACTTCCAGGTGATCCAACCCTTCACTAGTCTCTTCAGGCACCAGAAACACACATGGGACACATGTGTAAGTGCAGACACAATACTCATAAATATAAAATAAAAATAAATCATAACTGAACAACAATCTTTTTACTGAACCATGAGACTTAGAAGAAATGAGAGTTGAAATATTTAAATTCACAGAAGCAAATGAAAATGAAATCAGAACTTTTGAAACCCTTTAGAAATCACCTAACGGAGCTCTAAGAGAAAAATCTATATCTCTAAGTATTTACACTAAAATTAGACAGATGTCAAATGAATAAGCTAATGGTGTACCACAAGACCCTATA